ACTTTTAAATTTTTAGTAGAGACAGGGTTTCACCATGTTGGCCAGGGTGGTCTTGAACTTCAGACCTTGTGATCCACCCACCTCAGCCTCCCAAAGTGCTGGGATTACAGGCATGAGTCACCACGCTCAGCCAATAAAATAAATTTTAAAAATTCATAAATTTTAAGTTAGTACAGGATTAATAATAAATTAATTTATTATTTCATAATAAAAGGGCTAATAATCAATATAATAATATACCAAGAGTTAACTGATTTGATTAATTATACTTATTGTTAGCTGTTATAGGATTAATAGTGAGTGTGAATAACAATAGGATACTAACAGTAATAATAAATATAACAATAATAGTAACACATCTAGGATTATAAATATAAATATGCTACAAATATAACAAATCTATCAATATTTAATATACTTTTATATTAAAATAATGATAGTATAAAAGTAAATATGAAATAATAGGATATTCATGAGATGAATGATAATAAGGGTAATATGGCCAGACGCTGTGGCTCATGCATGTAATCTCAGCCTCCCAAGGTGAGCAGATCGCTAGAGCCCAGGGGTTCAATACCAGCCTGGGCAACATAGTGAGAGCCCATCTCTATTTTATTTATTTATTAATTTAGAAACAGAGTTTCACTCTTGTCACCCAGGCTGGAGTACAATGGTGCGATCTTGGCTCACTGCAACCTCCACCTCCTGGGTTCAAGAGATCCCTGCCTCAGCCTCCTGAGTAGGTGGAATTACAGGCGCCCAGCACCATGCAGGCTAATTTTTTATACTTTTAGGAGAGACGGGGTTTGACCATGTTGGGCAGGCTGGTCTTGAACTCCTGACCTCAGGTGATCTGCCCACCTTCACTTCCCAAAATGCTGGGATTACAGGTGTGAGTCAACAAGCCCGGCCTCTATTTTATTAAAAAAAAAAAATGATAACAATAAGGTTAATATAATTGAGTATTTGAAATGGGATTAGTGTTACTAAGGAACTGAATTTGGAACTTTATTTAATTTTGGTGGCAGGTGGGACGGAGTATAGCTCTGTTGCCCAGGCTGGAGTGCAGTGGCACAATCTTGGCTCACTGCAGCCTCCACCTCCTGGATTCAAGTGATTCTCCTGTCTCGGCCTCCTCACTAGCTAGAATTGTAGGCAAGCACCACCATGCCCAGCTCTAATATTTGTATTTTCAGTAGAAATGGGGTTTCACCATGTTTGGTCAGGCTGATCTCAAACTCCTAACCTCACGTGATCTGCTTTCCTCGGTCTCCCAAAGTGCTGGGATTACAGGCATGAACCACCCCTGGCCCAGCCACTTTATTTAATGTTAATTAATTAAAATGTAAGTAGCCACATGTGGCTAGTAGCTACTGTGCTGGACAGCAGGGCTTTGGACATTTTACATATGTTAACTCCTTTAATCTTTACAAGGCTGGGTGCAGTGGCTCGTGCCTATAATCCCAGCACTTTGGGAGGCTGAAGCAGGCGGGCCATCTGAGGTCAGGAGTTTGAGACCAGCCTGGCCAACATGGAGAAACCCAGTCTGTACTAAAAATACAAAAAAGAGGCTAGGCGCAGTGGCTCATGCCTGTAATCCAAGCACTTTGGAGGCCAAGGAGGGGCAGATCACCTGAGATCAGGAGTTCAAGACCAGCCTGAACAACATGGTGAAACCCCGTCTTAAAAAAAAAAAAAAAAATACCCAGGGCCGGGCGTGGTGGCTCAAGCCTGTAATCCCAGCACTTTGGGAGGCCAAGGCAGATGGATCACGAGGTCAAGAGATCGAGACCATCCTGGTCAACATGGTGAAACCCCATCACTACTAAAATACAAAAAATTAGCTGGGCATGGTGGCGCGTGCCTGTAATCCCAGCTACTCAGGAGGCTGAGGCAGGAGAATTGCCTGAAACCAGGAGGTGGAGGTTGCGGTGAGCCGAGATCGTGCCATTGTACTCCAGCCTGGGTAACAAGAGCGAAACTCCGTCTCAAAAAAAAAAAAAAAAAAAAAAGAATGTGGAGGCTGGGCGCCGTGGCTCACACCTATAATCCCTGCACTTTGTTGGGAGGCCGAGGCAGGTGGATCACGAGGTCAAGAGATCGAGACCATCCTGGTCAACAAGATGAAACCCCTCTCTACTAAAATACAAAAATTAGCTGGGCATGGTGGTGTGTGCTTGTAATCCCAGATACTTGGGAGGCTGAGGCAGGAGAATTGCTTGAACCCAGGAGGCGGAGATTGCGGTGAGCCGAGATTGTGCCATTGCACTCCAGTCTGGGTAACAACACTGAAACTCTGTCTCAAAAGAAAAAAAAGAATGTTGAATATAGGCCAGGCACAGTAGCTCATGCCTGTAATCCCAGCACTTTGGGAGGCAGAGGCGGGCAGATCACCTGAGGTCAGGAGTTTGAGACCAGCCTGGTCAACATGCTGAAACCCCGTCTCTATGAAAAATACAAAAATTAGCTGGGCATGGTGGCAGGCGCCTGTAATCCCAGCTACTTGGGAGGCTGAGGCAGGAAGAATTGCTTGAACCTGGGAGGCGGAGGTTATAATGAGCTCGCACCATTGTACTCCAACCTGGGTGACAGAGTGAGACTCTGTCTAAAAAAAAAATAGCCGGGCGTGGTGGTGGATGCCTATAATCCCATCTACTTGGCAGGCTGAGACAGGAGAATTGCTTGAACCTGGGAGGCAGAGGTTTCGGTGAGCCAAGATTGCACCATTGCACTCCAACTTGGGTGACAGAGACTCCATCTCAAAAAAAAAAAAAATGTTGGTTATAATCTATGATTGAGTGTGAGAGTCCCATGTCCCTTGAGCGTTGTGAAGAGGAGTTGCCATAGAGACTAGCCCTGTAGTCAACAGAACTTCACTCCCCTTTTACAGATGCAGACATTGAGGCTTGAGAGCAAAGATCTTGCCCAGGGTCACCAGCCAGAGTGGAGGCCTTGGTATCCGCATCTGTAAAATGTGCTTCTCCAGGCCTGGGTCACAGGCAAGGAAGGGGCCCGGGGACCTGATTTGGCCCCCAGCTGGGCACTGGCACTGGCTGTTGGCATTTCCCATGCCCAAGTTCCCATCGCGGCATTGCCTGTGACTTCCAAAGGTCTCCTCCTGCCTCCAGCTAGAGGCTCCCACTTTCTGAGCCTCAGTGTCTCTGGCTTGTCAAACAGTCCTGACAGTAGTTGGGTGAAGGGAGATGACATTGTGTAGGACATTGTCCCTAGTGGCTTTCAGTGAATTCGAAGGGCGCTGACCGATACCAAAGACACTTGCAGCACCCTGGGCTCCTCCCGGCTGTTCCTCAAACTCACCTTCATGCTCCACTCCAGGGTCTTAGCACTGGCTGTTCCCTATACCCGGAATGTCCTTCGACCAGGTGTTTCTTTTTTTCTTTTTCTTTTTCTTTTTTTTTTTTGAGACAAAATCGCACTCTGTTGCCCAGGCTGGAGTGCAGTGGCTCAATCTCGGCTCACTGCAGCCTCCACTGCCTCCTGGGTTCAAGTGATTCTTCTGCCTCAGCCTCCTGAGAAGCTGGAATTACAAGCGAAAGGCACCATGCCCAGGGTATGTTTGTATTTTCAGTAGAGACGGGGTTTCATCATGTTAGCCAGGCTGGCCTTGAACTCCTGATCTCAGGCAATCTGCCTGCCATGGCCTTCCAAAGTGCTGGGATTACAGGCGTGAGCCACCACGCCCCAGCTGTCTACTCTCACTTTCTTCACTCCCTGGAGGTGCCTGACGACCCACCAAATCTAAACCAGCCTTACCCCCATTGCTGACATGCTGGCACTCTCCATCTCTCTTCTGCCCCACCTTTTTTTTTGACATGGAGTCTTGCTTGTTGCCCAGGCTGGAGTACAGTGGAGCGATCTTGGCTCACTGCAACCTCCACCTCCCGGGTTCAAGCAATTCTCCTGCCTCGGCCTCGAGTAGCTGGGACAGGCGCACACCACCATGCCTGGCTAGTTTTTGTATTTTTAGTAGAGATGGGGTTTCACCATGTTGGCCAGGATGGTCTCAAACTCCTGACCTCAGGTGATCTGCCTACCCTGGCCTCCCAAAGTGTTGGGATTACAGGCATGAGCCACAGCTTCTGGCCTTCATGACTCATTTCTAACAAAGGGACTACAGTGAAGTGACGCTGTGTGACTTCTGAGTTATAAGAAGCATTTAGGCTTATCCTTGTACTCTCCCGAGATGTCTACTCGGGGAAAAGCCAGCCACCATGTCTTAAGGACACCCAAGCCGCTTGATGGAGGCTGATGTGAGGAGGAACTGAGGCTTGCTGCAAACAGCCAGGAGTGAAACCATCACTTCCAACCATCCTGGAAGTGAATCATCCAGCCCTGGTTGGGCCCCAGATGAGAACAGTCCTAGCCCACTTTTGTTTGTTTATTTATTTAAGAGACAGGGTCTTGTTACATTGCCCAGACTGGAGTGCAATGGCTAGTCACAGGCACAATCATCGTGCACTATAGCCTTGAACTTCTGGGCCTCAAACAATCCTCCTGTCTCAGCCTCTTTTTTTTTTTTTTTTTTTTTTTTTTGGAGACGGAGTTTTGCTCTTGTTACCCAGGCTGGAGTGCAATGACATGATCTCGGCTCACCGCAACCTCCACCTCCTGGGTTCAAGCAATTCTCCTGCCTCAGCCTCCCGAGTAGCTGGGACTACAGGTGCACACCACCATGCCCAGCTAATTTTTGTATTTTTAGTAGAGACGGGGTTTCACCTTGTTGACCAGGATGGTCTCGATCTCTTGACCTCGTGATCCACCCGCCTCGGCCTCCCAAAGTGCTGGGATAATAGGCGTGAGCCACCGCGCCCGGCCTCTCAGCCTCTTGAGTAGCTGGGACTGCGGGTGCCTGCCGCCAGGCTATGTTTTGGACTATAATCTCATAAGTGAGAGACCCTGAACCACATGCTAAGTCAGACCGCGTGTCAGTTCCTAAAACTGTATGAGATAATAAAGGTTTTTTTTTTTGCGGGGGTGGGGGGAGGTTTAAATTTTTATTTCAAAAGCTTGGATAGCTTTAATATCCAGGTTGTGGCAAAATCAGGACACGTGTAAAATACCTTACAATACATTAGATTCCCAAAAGGTACCAAAAAGTACAGTAAAATTAACACTTCCATTACAGGAAATGTATGACACAAATAATATAAAATTAAAAGGTGAAAAAAAGGTGACACTGGTTTCCTAAGATACAATTTGCTCTTTACAACCAGGGTCCACAGGTCCAGGCTGCAGAGCAGCAGCAGGAAGCAGAGCCTCCCATCTGGTTCTGGGGGACCTGGTAATAGAAATCAGCCCATAATGCCACTGTGGCCTCTCAGACACCACACCCTGCCTAAACAGCTAGCGCTCTGGAAATAGTAAACAGGAGAGTGATTTCCCTGGGGGAAATTTTAAATAAGATGCACATGGGACAGGCCACAGAAAGTTTGTCAAGTTAAATTTGGTACATAATTGTGTTCACTCCATATTCAAACAAAGCATGTGTGCAGTCAGTTGGTCGCTCCTGCTGTCGCCTCAGTATGGCTTGTAGTTATTCTGATGGCCACCACGTCGCTGGCTCTTGCTGTAGTTTGTACTACCCTGACTGTAGCCGGGGCGTAGCCGTAATAGCCATAGGGCGAGTAGCCGCAGCCGCCATAGCCAGGCCCGTAGCCCTGCTGGTAGCCGCAGCCCAGATTCCAACTCTGACTCTGACCTCCATCTCCACCACCGCCTCCGCTGCCTCAGTTCCCTCGGTTGCGGTTTCCACGGCCCCTAGAGCCATACTGCTGCTGCTGATAAACTTCTTTAGGCTGGGTCACCTTGATCTCACACTTGCTTCCACTGATAGTATGAAACTTTTTCTCCAGAACCTTCTTTACAGGTTCTTCTTCTTTAAAGGTGATAAACACAAAACCTCGTCTTTTGTTCAACTTAGGATCCATTGGAAGTTCAATGGCCTCAATCTCCCCAAAATCGCCGAAGTACTCCCTGATCTTTTCCTCAGTGGCTTCAGGATTCAGACCCCTGACAAAGATTTTCTTCACCGGGTCCTTCTTCATAGCCATGGCCTTTTTAGGGTCAATGACATGGCCATCCAACCTGTGCTCCTTCTGGTCTAGAACCTTCTCCACACTGGCCGCATCTTTGAACAAGATAAACCCAAACCCTCTTGACCGTCCAGTGTTGGGATCCATTTTTATTGTACAGTCAACCACCTCTCCACATTTAGTAAAATAGTCTTTTAAATCTTTTTGCTGGTATCCCAGCTTAGGCCACCAACGAACATTTTTCCCGCATCTTCCTCGTTCTTGCTGGCGTTGATCTGGTCGCCCTCGGCACCGTTCTGATTCCCGCTCGGGGGCGCCACGGTCGCGCCTCCGGCCCATGCCGAGGCGCCCGCGCCAGCCCCGGCCGGCGACTCGCCTTCGGGGGCGGCCTCGTGTCCGTTCTCGGTGGCGCCCGTCGTCTCCATGGGCTGCTCCTCGCCCGCTTACGACATCCTAGGCTGAAGCGCGGCGGCGATGACGCCGCGGGGCCGGCTCGTCCCCACCCGCCGGGGAAGGCGCCGCGGGCTCGGCTGCACTGAAGCTCGCGCTGCTGAGGCCTCCCCTCCTTCACGCGACGGAGCTTTTCCAGCTGCGTCTCCTTCTCCCGAGCCGCGACCGCACAAGGACCCAACGGCCCACAACCCAGGTTTGTTGTTTTAAGCCAGTAAACATGGGAATAACTTGTTACCCAGCAAGCAGTAATTAACACAGAACTCCAGAAGCCTGGGCGCAGGGGTCCAACTAACTCTTTTCCCACCATTAGGGTCAAACGGAGACCAAGAGGGCTCAGGAAATGGTCCCCCTTGGTCAACGCACCTCTGCCCCAGGCCAGAAGAGAATTATGTTACCGAGTCCTTCCTTTTCTCGCCTGGGCGGGCCAAATTCCCACGGCAGATTCCTGGGCTCAGGGTCTGATCTGCGGAGCTCCGGTGCCTGATGCCATCTCTCCCTCCGCTTCCTTCCATTGGCTTCGGTTCCATTTTCTGTCCTCCCAGTGCCTTAGAAGCTAAAATTGCCGCAAGTCCTTGCCTAAGAAAAGCATGAACAGCATTTACAGTCTGGACTCCATTTATGGAAGCGAGAGCCATGCTGAGAACATCACAGGCCTTCTCTCTCTCATCCCAAATGAAGGGTTTGCTATTCATTTCCCATTTGTCAGATGAGGGAACTGAGGCACAGGGCAGTGAAGTGGCATGTCCATGTCACACAGCTGGTGATGGAGAAGCTGGTGTGGACTAAAGACTGGTCTCACTGCAGAGTCCTACCTCTTAGCCACCTACTGAGCCCAAGTGATAATACAAAATGATGGTAATCATAGAATTAATGACACTGAATTAATGATTAATTAATGTTCTTTTCTTTCTTTCTTTTTTTTTTTTGGAGACAGGTTGCTCTGTCACCCAGACTGCAGGGCAGTGGCTGGATCTTGGCTCACTGCAATCTCTGCCTCCTGGATTCAAGCAATTCGCGTGCCTCAGCCTCCCAAGTAGCTGGGATTACAGGCATGATTCACCACACCTGGCCAATTTTTTGTTTGTTTGTTTTTTGAGACGGAGTCTTGCTCTATTGCCCAGGCTGAAGTGCAGTGGCGCAATCTCAGCTCACCATGACCTCCACCTCCCAGATTCAAGCAATTCTCCTCCCTCAACCTACCAAGTAGCTGGAACTATAGGCGTGCGCCACCACTCCTGCTAATTTTTGTATTTTTAGTAGAGACAGGGTTTCACCATATTGGTCAGGCTGATCTTGAACTCCTGACCTCGTGCTCCACCCACCTTGGCCTCCCAAAGTGCTGGGATTACAGGTGTGAGCCACAGCACCTGTCCCTAATTTTTTTGTATTTTTAGTAAAGACAGGGTTTCCCCGTGTTGCCCAGGCTAGTCTCAAACTCCTGACCTCAAGTGATCATCTGCCTCGGCCTCCCAAAGTGCTGGGATTAAAAGCCACCTCGCCTGGCCTAATTAATAGTTCTGAGTGATCAATGAATTATTAGAGGATTACGTGCCAAGCACTGCTCTGAGGGCTTAGTTTAGGTGGATTATGACAATTGTAAGAAGAGAATGTTGTTTTCCTCCACTTGACAGAGAAGGAAACTGAGGCACAGAAAGGCGAAGTGACTTCCCCAAGTCACATGGCTGGTAAGTGGCCCAGCAGCAATTTACACCCAGGCTCCCCAGTTCTGATCTTAACCAAAAACAGCGGCCGCTGCGCCCCTCCTCAAGCGCCCCCCCACCCGCCCCGCCTCCGGCCTCAGCCTGCGAGCCACCCCCTCTTCCGCCAGCCCTGGGAATCTGGTTTCTAGGGGAAGTGACTCAGTGGCCTGAGGCCCATGAGATAATTATTCACTTCCAATCCCGGTAATTGAGGCCCTAATAGCTCCGCAGAGGATGTACAACCCAGTTACCTCCGCCGTCCCCACCCCTGACCCGGGATCAACGTGGGGCACGCGAGCTCCCCAGGGCGGGGCTTGACCGCAGTCCCAGGCTGCGGGTTCTGCGGGTGCAGGCTGTGGCGGCTGCTTTGTGGCAGCCGCTTTGCGCGGGGCTCTGGCACCCCCTGGTGGCTGTGCAGGCATAGTGGCAGGTGCCTGGAGTCCTAGCTACCTGGGAGGCTGAGGCAGGAGAATCGTTTGAACCTGGGAGGCGGAGGTTGAAGTGAGCTGAGATTGCACTGTTGGACTCTGGCCTGGGCAACAAGAGGGAATCTCCATCTCAAAAAAAAAAAAAAAAAAAAAAAAAAAGGCCGGGCACGGTGGCTCATGCCTGTAATCCCAACACGTTGGGAGGCTGAGGTGGGTGGATCACCTGAGATCAGGAGTTCAAGACCAGCCTGGCCAACATGGCAAAACCCCATCTCTACTAAAAAAAAAAAAAAAAAAAATACAACAATTAGCCGGGCATGGTGGTGTGTACCTATAATCCCAGCTACTCTGGAGGCTGAGGCAGGAGAATTGCTTGAACCTGGGAGGCAGAGGTTGCAGTGAACCGAGATCTGCACTCCAGCTTGGGGGACAGAGTGAGACTCCATCTCAAAAAAAAAAAAAAAAAACCCGGCCTTGGCCAGTAGGCTGGCACCCGCTCTGCCTCTTCCTGTGAGAACATGGGTGCCTCCTCACCATCTCGGAGTTTAGGCTGAGGATTCACAGTGAGACACCATGTCAAACGGACACAGCCCTGCCCCAGACAATACCTCTTCGTTACTTTGAGCAGATGGAATTTAGAATTGAAATTGCCCGTTGTGAGAAAATGTCCACGAATTTAGGGGTCTGTGGCAGGGGTCTGAGACTGATAGCTGGATGCCAAACAGCGGGGCCAGGGGACACTAGCTCAGCCACTGACTTATGTGCAGGTCACCAGGCACCTGCTCCGTCCTGGGCACTGCCAGGAGCTGAAAAATGAGAGGCCCCCTTAAAGGAGGGGTGAGAGGATGAAAGAGAAGTTGGTAATGCCAGCTTTTTTTTTCTTTTTTTGAGACAGTCTTGCTTTGTCACCCAGCCTGGAGTACAGTGGCATGATCATTCACTGCAGCCTCGACCTTCCACGCTCGAGTGATCCTCCTGCCTTAGCCCCCAAAGTAGCTGGGAGTACAGGTGAATGCCACCATGCCCTGCTAATTTTTAATTTTTTTTTTTTTTTTTTTGTAGAGAGGGAGTCTTGCTATATTGCCCAGGCTAGTCTTGAATTCCTAGCCTGAAGCAATCCTCCCTCCTCAGCCTCCCAAAGTGCTGGGATGACAGGTGTGAGCCACCATGTTCCATGTGCCAACTTTTAAAGCAGGATTCAGAAATCCTGCACTTGCCAGGCATGGTGGCTCACACCTGTCATCCTAGCACTTTGGGAGGCCAAGATGGACAGTTTGCCTGAGCTCAGGAGTTCAAGACCAGCCTGGGCAATATGGCGAAACTCCATCTCTACTAAAAATACAAAAAAATTAGCTGGGCAAGGTGGTGCCTGCCTGTAATCCCAGCTACGCTGGAGCCTGAAGCACGAGAATTGCTTGAACCTGGAAGGCAGAGGTTGCAGTGAGCCAAGATCAAACCAATGCACTCTAGCTTGGGTGACAGAGTGAGACTGTGTCTCAAACATAAATAAACAAACAAACAAATAAATAAATAAATAAATACAGCCGGGCACGGTGGCTCACGCCTATAATCCCAGCACTTTGGGAGGCTGAGGCAGGTGGATCGTGAGGTCAAGAGATCGAGACCATCCTGGTCAACAAGGTGAAACCCCGTCTCTACTAAAAATACAAAAATTAGCTGGGCATGGTGGTGCGCACCTGTAGTCCCAGCTACTCGGGAGTCTGAGGCAGGAGAATTGCTTGAACCCAGAAGGCGGAGGTTGCGGTGAGCCGAGAATGTGCCATTGCACTCCAGTCTGGGTAACAAGAGCGAAACTCTGTCTCAAAAAAAAAAAAACAAAACATAAATACATAAATAAATCCTGCACTTGAGGCAGCGGATGAGCCGGCAAGACCCTCCAGGTCTTCGGGACTTCAGCAAATTCACTCCCACACAGCAACCCAGCCCTTGGCTGGTGCCTCCTTTCCCCCCATATATACCAGGGACTGTTGTGGTGGGGGGACTCTGGCCCTCCCTATGCTTCCCCTTCCTCTGTGTTCTTCCCAGCGTGGGGCTGGGCCAGTGTGTTTGTGGTGGAGGATAATTTCAGTTCCCTCTTGCGGGTGACTGGCTCAGCCCACTGCTTGGGTGGGGTGGCCAGGGTGGAAGGAAGCTCTGCCTCAGATCCCACCTGGAACACCATTGGCCCCTACTGGTGACTGGGTGAAGAGGGCATCACTGGAAAGGGTCAGAGGACTGAGAGCTGGATGCCAAACAGTGGGGCCAGGGGACACCAGCTCAGCCACTGACTACGTCACGGAGCACCTGCTATGTCCTGGGCACTGCCAGGTGCTGAGACACAACGTTGAACAAGGCAGACCAAGCTTCCTGCCCTCCTGGGCCTGTCTTCCAATGTGGGGAGACGTTCGCCAAGATTACGTCCGCCAAGGTTATGTCCACAGTTATCAAACCCAGATACGCGACCTGCAATTGGCTTCTCCTGGTTTTTCTCCTGTGTCACTGGCTGTGTCTTCTCATCTCCTTTGTGGGTTCTGCCTTATCTTCTCACAGGCCTCCCTGATGTCATCATGCCTTTCTCCTCCTCTCTCTGCTGCAGCCACATGGCCCCCTGGTTGTGTTTCCTGCCTGCGGCCCTTTGCACATGCTGTTCCTTCTGCCAACAATGCTGTTCCCTGGCCATGTGCATGGTTTGTGCCCTTGTTTCCTTCAGGTCTTTGCTCAAAGGGTACCTTCTCAATGAGGCCTTCCTTGGTCCCCTCCTAGTGAAATGGCACCTCCCACAACCCATCCTCATGGACTATTCCTATCCTCTTGCCTTACTTTTTTCTCCTGGGCTCTTAACTTCAACTCACAGACTGTTTGAATGTTATTTCCTTATTTTTCCCTCTGGTCAGGGAGGGTAGAGGCACTTGTCTGTCTTAAAAAAATGAGTTATTGACGTGAAGTTCCTATAACATAAAACTAATTTTTTTTTGTTTTGAGACGAAGTCTAGCTGTGTTACCAGGCTGGAGTGCAGTGTGATCTCACCTCACTGCAACCTCAGATTCCCTGGTTCAAGTGATGTCTCAGTCTCCTGAGTAGCTGGGACTACAGGCATTCACCACCACACCTGGCTAATTTTTATATTTTTAGTAGAGATGGGGTTTCACCATGTTGGCCAGGATTGTCTCGATCTCCTGACCTCGTGATCTGCCTGCCTTGGCCTCCCAAAATGCTGGGATTACAGGCGTGAACCACTGTACCTGGCCATCTTTTTTTTTTTTTTTTTTTTTTTTTTTAGAGAATAGAAATGGAATCTTGCTATGTTGCCCAGGATGGTCTTGAACACCTGGGCTCAAGTGATTCTTCTGCCTCAACCTCCCAAGAGTCTGGACCTGTAGGTGTGAGGCACTGCGTCCAGCAAAACTAACCATTTTATTTATTTATTTAGGGACAGAGTCTTGCTCT